TTAATGAAAATTATCATTTTTGGATCATTTCGATAACACTTCTTAAAGACCTTATCGAATCTAATTTGGGTTGGGTGGCAATAGAGCTTCCTGCCAAAAAGGATTCCCATGTTACATCATTTAGTAGTGATTCATATTTGCTTCTTTCTTTTCATTACTTTTTCTGGTTCATTTAGGGGATTAGTATTTATTAAGGTTAATTTTATAAATGTTTTACCGATCGAGTAGGTTTGCTTTAATCCCCTCAACAAGGTCTTTTTCCTTTTGACGATTCCCACAGTAATTTGAATCTTACAATTATTATGATTATTGGTCGACAATCAAATATGAATTTATATACTGTATATATAAAGTTGTTAACAATATATCGAATATTGAGGATAAGACCACCAGTCATGCCTCAACATGATGTTGAACTGTATTTATTATAATTTAACTTCCAATGGTAATAATATTTATTTTCTTATTTCAAAAAGAAATAATTTACCAAACAGATTTTATATGAAGTTTTCTTTTCATTCTCAGGTGGTATGTACCTGTGTTCTTTATTTCAAACTTTTGTGTTCCAGTTCAGATGTTAAAAAAACAGATTCTATACGATTAAAAACATCTAAAAATTTCTTTGATTAGTAAATTTTACATAAACTGTTTCTTAAACTCATTATTGTATTTAACTATTGTCCATTTTTACTATTTTCTTTCAAAATATATGTATATACAATAACTAATATTGAACAAAATTTCAATAATGGTAAAGATTGCAATATTTATTATTCTTATCTACTATATAATTTAATCTACTATAATTAAAAGCTCTTATTAAGAGTCAATGAGTTATGCCACGTCAGCTAATCTAATCAGCTAACAGGGACTGTATTTTCTACCATGTCACTGCCATGTGGGATTGTTCAGGTCAATAATATGATGATTCGTATATGAAAACAACAAAGATTAGGCAGCAGAGTTGGTAAAACACAGCTCCTAAACCCTCAAAAATCTGGGTTCAATTTCCACCAGTAACATTTTAATTTTTCTGACCCCACTAATATCCAATCTTGGGACTGCCCCTGCATCTGTTGTACCAGAAGGAGGGCATTCAACATCAAACAATCAGATTGTCGACCCAAAGAATGGAAAGAAGGGGACACGATTAAGATTAGATCCACCTAGAAAACATAAATCACCATTACATTTCCTTATGTTTTATGTCGTCCTTTTCGTTTGGTTATGCACTATAATTTAGAATTTTATCTATTTTTAATTAAACTCAACGTGGTGGGTGGTGTTTAACCTATCAATATACATGTCTTCCTTTAAGCTCAAATTAAATAAACGCAATATAGGCATTGAAGAACTCACTTCCTCTGCATGTTAAAATGTGTTAAAAATATAATTTGAGATATTAAAACTATTCATCAAAAACTATTTATACAACTTCTGAGCTAATAGTGAGTAATGAAACATTATATGTACATACACTCACAAAAGACCTGGAGAATAGAAATTCACAAAAAAAAAACCTTTAAGAGGAAGACATGACATGGTTAGAGAAAGCATGAGGACGTTGGTTTGGGACTCCTAGAGGTCCACAAAACGACTCCAAAGAAAAGAAAATGTTAAGTTAGAGTAAGTTTCTTATTAGACACTATACTAATTTGTTGATATTTTGTTAGGAAGCTTTTAACTAAATAGACTCTTTTTTTCTCTGTGAACTCCTAACTAAATTATCGAAAATGTGTCAAAACAGACTATGGTGTTAGGTTGTTGTCTTCTATCTAATGACTTTATGTGGATCAGGACCAAAAAGTTTGGTTCCAGTGTGTTTATAAAAAAACAGAATTCTTTTGAATTACATTAAAAATAACTCCAGGCGAACAAAACTTGCCTTTAAGCATTACTAGAATCTGAAACTGAAAATTTATTAATGTTTCTGGATTAATTTTCTGACACTTCTTACAGAGAGGCTTATTATACTAACATGGTATATTATTCTCTTTAGTTGAAATCTATTTAAGTTTGCCAAGAGGATTTCACAAAGTTAGGACCAATGTGCACTTAAATATATAATTATTTGATCTTTACTTGGCTGGCATATTCATAGATAAAACTAGGGGTGGTATGGATCAAATACTACCATAATATTAAGTATTTGCGGTTTACTTTGTATTTTACGGATATTTAATTTTTCGCTTTGCTTTGTTTCGAAAAATTACGGATAATATTTTTGAAAAAATTACGGATATTTCATCCACTTTGTTCAATATAAATATATATATTTTAAAAAAAACTATACAAGTTTTTTTCCAAAAAATATATTTTACATAACAAAGATTAGTGAAATTATATGTCTCAGAAATTTTTAAAATTAGTTAATTTAAAATAAAACATAAAATTTTAAGAAAATTATAGTTTTATAAAGATTTTATCTTCCTTTCTTAAGTTAATACTTCTCTATTGAATTTTATAAATTATATATTAAAATAATAATTATATATATTATGCATTTAAATTTCTATATTTAATTGTATATATACACTTCTTTTTATAAAAATTGGAACGGATCAGATATCTGATTCTAATTTATTAGTATTTGTGATTTACTTCGTTTTTAATGAATATTGAATTTTAATATTTAATTTGCTTCTAAAATTTACGGATATCCGGAATTTTCAAATCAAAATAGTCGATTCAAACTTTATGGATAAAATGTCTAACCCTAGAGAAACTGTTAAGAAGATTTCAAACACCCAAAAACTAATAAAAAATAATTGTTTCATTAATTTTTTGTAAGGAAACAAATCATAATTGCTTAGACTAGGATATAAACTAAAACTACATAACCAAAGCCACCACATTGTTAATATACAGTCGTCAAGGCAACCAAAACAAATACATCATAAATGTTTCAAATAAACCAAACAGTATTAAGAAAATGCATTTGTCAATAACACAAATAGTAAATAGTTAGTGCTATAACAAGCGTTAGAGAAACTCCAATGGAGATTCTTCTCATTTAAAATTTTAAAATATGAATTATGTATATATGTATATATATATATATATATATATATATACATATATTATATATATATGTATAAATATTTGTGGAATCCTATAGAAGAATTCCCTTTGGAGGTGGTTTTAGGATCACAAACGAAAGGTCCAAAAAAATTGAATCAATTAGTAGTTATGTATCTCTTTGTTTTCTAACTTTTAAGGATATACAAAACCTTATGCAATTTACTATGATTCATTTAAATGTTAGATTTTCTTTGACTATGTCGAAGTGAAATAAAATAATAAGAATACATATATATATATATATATATGTATACATATATTATATTTTCTGAATTATTTTTTCAAATTTTATATTCTCCGAAAATAGAGAATAATGAAGGTTACTGTCCTTTTAATTCAAACTAAAAATGTTTAGTACAATCTCAGACTATTTGTTATTTGTTTTTTTTCAATTTATAATGATTTAATGCTTCATAAAATTAAACAAATAAATATATAATAGTTTTTACTATAACTTTCCGCCCGTAGGGCGGACCAAAACCCCTAAATGAGTGCATGCTTATCAAGGATTGAATGATTCTGCCTAGTTTAAGTTTCTATTTTTTCTCAGTTTAGTTTCATTTCAGTTTGCATCTTTCAGAGTTCTTTCCCTTTCCAAACCTTTTATCTATATAATTTCACCATTTATGAATGGTAATTGCTTATTGTTATGATTTTGAAACCACCATTGCGCCTCTGATATGTGTTAATTATTCCTCTTTAAATATTTAGGAACTGATATCATATAATCCTTACTGCACCTATAAATTTTTAAAATTTGTTAGTTTTTTTAACTATTACATATATTACATTGTTCATTACTGATATCATATAATTCCGTTAGACCCAACCAAAATTCAACTCCTTAAAACTATTTTCCTCAAAAATAATAATATTGTTATTGGAATGATTATTTATTTTCAACTTTATAAAGTATGATTTTAAATGTATATATATACTACTAATGCATCACACATTCTCTGACAATTGGTTACAAAAAAAATTAAACTCTAACTATTTCAGAGAACATTATACAACTTATGCCTACAAGCTTATATATATTTTCTGATACTGAATTTCAATAGTTCGGAAATTGTATTCCCCAAAATCATCACATAAAATAAAATTAAAATCCAAATAATTGAAATAAGTAGTTACCCTAAATATAAAAGCTATATACAAAACCAAAAACTATAAAATAAGATAAAAAAAATTGAAGTTTATGGAAAATAACTTGGACGTAGCTCGGGAAAATCTCTAGTTTACATAATAGTAGGTGTTTGACATGCACATACGGACATAAACATTTTATAATTATTTATTAATATTGTATTACTATTTAAATTAAATGCTAAATTATTATTTATGTTTTCATCTGGAAATTTTTACATATAAATTTTTTGAAAATTTATTTGTACAGTATATTGATTATTAATAAATTAATAAATAAATCTTAAAAATCAATTAATATTTTTTGAATTATATAAAATTAAAAATTTTAATTAGTTAAATAGAACTATGTGTTTAATTTTTTGAATACATAAGAATTACATTTATATTTTAATATATTTTTGATAATTTTCATTATTATTAATTTTAATCATTTATCTAAATAAAAATAATAATTTTTAGTTTTTGGCTAATTTATATATATTATTTATTAAAGATATGAATGATATTAATCACTTCTATTTTTAATAATAATATAGATATTATTGGATAAAAGCGTAGCTATTCATCCACTTAAAAGGTGAATTTCATTTAATTAAAATGAATTAGAGTTGATAATAGTTGTTCTCATTCACCAAATTTTCTGTTATTAACTTACTATCTTTCTTTTAATTTTATATAGAAAAGGGTACCGAACTTTTTATTGTGTGAGCTCATCCTTAAATGCTTTAAAGAAAGAGACTTTCATTAACTCAATAAAAAAATTTATCTAAACAATGGGTTTTCGTTTCACTGCCTAAAATCTAGCTCAAGCGTCTTATCGAGGAAGAACACACAAATTTGTAACGGAATAACAGCAGATTAGGCCATTTGTAGCGACGAGCATCCGTTTTCCGACAAAGGGTTTAGATTCAGTTGTCTGATTTATCCTTCTTCAGGAAAACGACGAAACCTTGTCGAGATTTGCCGTTCTCAGACATAAAGTTAGTTGCTTTTTTCTCTCAATTGTCATTTAACTGGATCTTGATTCTGGTAAAGTTTTGATTTTTATTGTACTTCACCACTTTGCTTGTGTAATTTGAGTTCTTTATGTTCGAGCTATTACAGGATTTTCAGATTTTAGAACATTGTTTACGATCAACTCTGGATCTCGGACTCTGTAGGAACTCTGGATCTAAAAACCCTCAGTAAATATGAATGAAATGGACCAGAAAAGTTGTACAAAATCGACCATTGTTTGTGAAAGTTCGAGTGGATCTGTGCCTGATGTGAAGGGTGAGACCAGTGACGCTGTCTCAAACCATGTGTTGAGTGAAAAGCAAAAAGAGAATGATTCAAGAACGGGGGAAGATGGTGTTGGATGCAGTAACGTTTCACCTCATACTGTTCACGAGGAAGTTGCAAATAATGTTACTCACGAGAGTGATGCTTCAACAAAAGCAAAGGCCAAGGAGTTTCACGTGATTGATCTGAGTGGTGGAGGAGAAAGTGATAATGGGCAAAGAATCTGCAGAATCTGTCATTTTGGTTCTGATCAAACGCCGGATAGAGTTTCCGGAAAGTCAGTAAGTATAGACTTGATTGAGATTGGCTGCAAATGCAAAAACGAACTCGGCCTTGCCCATTTTCATTGCGCTGAAGCTTGGTTCAAGCTAAAAGGAAACAGGTTCTCTATTCAATTGATATTAACTTGACTAATCTTGGTGTAAACCTCTGTTCACTTCTTGGCAGTGTATGTGAGATCTGCGGTTCTTCAGCGTTGAATGTTCCAGTAAGGTTGACGGAGGAGGAGTGGAGCGAAATAAGGGATACTACAGTGGATGAAGGAAGAAGACGTGGAAGTGGACGATCTTGCTGCATCTTCATGGTCTTTCTGCTTGGTATCATTCTTCTTCATTGGTTTTTCAAGAAGATGAGTGTTTACTACCAAAGCAAATTAAATTAATTTGTTGGTTATTAAACATATCTGTTGGTAACTTGTACATCCTATTCTGACTCTATAGACTCTATGGTAACAGAAGGTATAATACAAGTTCTTTAGATCAAACACTGATTAAGAATACAAGAGTTTTCTACTCTAACTAGTAGAAGAAAATCATTTTCTGAAATATGTTTTATAGATTCAGCCTTAAAAATAGTTTGTGTTTTCTTTTCCCTTCAAAACACCATTCAATCAAGAAAGGCATTCATCTCATCAAGTATTCATGTGTGGCAATGTGGTTACATGTGATTATAGCCGCAAACATAAACGCATGGCGGGTCGTGGACATGGACAAATAAAATCATATGGTCCTCAAATTTTTTAAAATAATTTACATACATATAAGCTCTAAATTTATTTAGGATTTTTATCTAGTAATCGTCTATGGTGCTCAAGATTTTAGAAATAACTTTAAATAAATTTAATTTTTGTAAAGAAACATTTTTTATTAAAAATCTTATTAAATTATTTATAATATCTAAAAGAGACAATTGATGTAATGTATCTAACGAATATTTAAATTGGCCGAATGTCCATGGTTGTGGATAATCCAAAAAGGAGTAACCTTTTGACAGATGCGGACGAAAATGCCCTCTTACTTTATCGAAAACATGTAACTCTAGATTTAGCGGATACACATTATGTTAACTGAACACTAAGAGATATTTATCAATTTTCACATAATACAAAGATTGTTAGCAAATTGACAAAATTTTAACATGCTACAAATTTTGTTATCGGGTTACGTCTATTTATTAACGTGTTAAATAAATCGCTAACAAACAGGTTAGCATGTTAACAATACTATTATCATAAAAATACATATATTAACCGCTAATCAATTATCTATCAAATAGCCGTAATCCTATTTGTAACAGCTAACACTCTATGTATTGGTTACAAATTCATTAAAATATAATAATAACGGGTAAATAATGAAATAGCTGCTAACTTACATATTATCCAAATAAAAGAATGTATATTTCAAGATTTGAAATTAGAAATAATAGAATTAGTGTGAGATAATAACATTAGCAATATGGGTGTCAAAAGAATCAGAGTAAAAAATAGAGATTTATGATGAAAAAATGAAAGCATAAACATGTCATGTGTGAGAGATAAAGAGATTAGAAGATAGAGAAGAGAGCAAATGAGATAGGGGTATAATGGTGAGACGAAATAGTTTCTATTTTGGAAGGGTAGATGGCAAATATGAGGTGTATTTGGGGACAATCCCACCAATTTCTGTATCTAAAATTGTAGGGCCATATGTTGTACAATATTTTTTTATTATGATGTACAAACTTTCTATAGGTTGTTTTGAGTGATACCACACCAACATACATAACTGGATAGCATGATAGTATAAGAACCGGAAACTGATCCACAAACCTGATAACTAATAAAATAATAACTTCACAAAAGGAATAGAACTTGCCTGGAGATACAGAAGAAATATTGTGTTTGCATGAGATGAATTGCGGGGCAAATCTCCTTTGGCAGAGAAATATTTTGCTTGCAACTCAAGCAATGCTAAATTAAAACCATCTGCCCTAGGAGTTTTCGCCCAGTAATCTAGCCATGCATTGATGATCACTCTTTCTTCACAACATCTACAATACTTTTTTCTTCTTCTTACTATTTCACACACTTACGTCTGAGTTACTGTAAACTCATGCTGGCCTAGCAAAGTATATATAATTGATGAAGTGTATATAAGTAAAAGCATATTCTGTGGCAGATCCCATGTTTCATAGAGCATATGTGTATAGTATAATCCCAAAGACCAACCCCTTCATGCGGTCCTCATGCTTCTGATTCGGAATTTAACATCTCCTTTTTTTTTCCTGATTTACCGGGATTTTTTTTAATCAGGACTGCAAATACTTCGCTTGTGAATTGTATACAAAGTTTTGTGATTCATGCTTCTAATGGGTATTGTTCCATAGTATATGCTATTTGTATCAAGGTTTATAAATACGTTACATAGTTTGTTTTTTTCATTTGAAGTGATCAAGTGAGAGAAGGAAAGTACTAGCATTTGGTAGAAAAGAATTACAGGGTGAATCCTCTATTGGCAGGAGACGCTGATGACGCAGATACATTTTGTCATCATTTTCCTCTGCCAAAGGAGATTTGCCTCGCAATTTTTTTCATACCTTTATTCATTTATTCAGTACACTACTAGACCAAGGTCCTTACTCTAATGATGTGTGTTAGAGTCGTCACTATACTCTGAGTTCTGAAACTTTGATATATAATGTATGTTGTTTACCAAAAAAAAAGAGTTTATTCATAAACATCAAGTAAGAACCTAATCTTTTTGATTCAGTGATGTCATTCTTGAAGATGTAAGATGTCCGCCCTGAAGTAGTCGCTGACGTAGTTGCTGAGGTAGACGTCGTGTTGAGTGGTGAAAACCATGTGGAGTCAAGATGCTGAGCTGGAGTCGTGTAGACTTGGAGAGCAAGGGTGTATCTTGGAGAAAAGGCAAGAGGAATAAACTTGAGGAGCAAGTTTATGACTTAAAGAAAGAGGAATA